GGAGATGTATTTTAATTAAATTTTTAATTAAACAAAATGCAGTCTTTTGAATATTTACATCAGAAACTGTGCCGATTACGAAAAAATTACTTAAAACATGTCGTATGTATTTTGATTGACAAATTTGAAAAAAAAAATTAAATTGAAAATTTTCACCTAGTTGTCCACTTATTGGATCTCTATTTTGGAAATAGTAATTCTGATAATCGTAGTTGTTAATTCTTTTCCTGTATTCAATAGTAACTTCTTATCGAAGAAGTAATTACCTCACCTCCTTATCCTAAGCTTTTGATTTGACCTCTTGGTATAATTGGGACGTTCAAAATTGGTATAGTTCGCAATAAAAGTGTGACATTTACTTTCTTCTTTCAATTTACTGACTAGACTAGAGCTGCTGCTGACAGAACGCCTACTTTTATGCACGACAAAAGAAAGAAATGTCAGGTAGAAATTGCAGCGAACAATAATAAAGAAAAAGGAATAACATTTCACCAATTAATGTGCAACAGAAAGAGATGCAGACAAAGAGAATTTGCGAATGTTGCCAGCATTGGACTTTAAAGAAAGTTCAACATTCTCAGGAATTTAGGAAAGCAAAGATGCTTGTTTAAAGATATAATTCAACCGAGCAGTTATAAAGCCGATCCTGATCTTTTACCTACCAAAGCAACCTCTAAACCGCTGCACCACTTAGTATTATTCGATTATCTCTTTTCACTCTGTCTGTACTACTCATGAAGCATTTCCTAACTTAACAAGGGCGTGTTCAAAATGCAGCAAACGGCTATAGTCCGAAGTGATAATTTATTGTGGACTTTGCCAATTTTTCGTTCTAACTATACGATTAAATATTCACTTTTTCTTTTATTTAGTCAAAAAATTTCGCCTAAATCTTTTTCTCTTTTTCTTATAATCTTTCCTTCTAGTATGTTTTTCAGAAAAAAATTACTACTTTTAATTTAATTTAATATTCTTCTGTTTCCAATAAATGATAATGGTCGTGTCTCTTTTCATTTACAGTTATTAACACGTTCTCGAAAGTTCTTTAACCGAAATTCTCAAATACTTCCAACCTTTTCCTATCCCTTTAGGTTAATATCCATGTCTCACTGCATTATCCAGATATAGGCTTTTATCAGTCGCCTTCTAGCATTTCTAACTATTTTAACTTTGAGCGTATGTTTTTTGTTATTAGATCCATTTTTTCTACAGCTATTCTTCCAACGATGTCTGGAGTTTACCCTAAGTCACTAGATAACAATTACGTATGCATGTTTTTGATCTCACCGTGTAGAGTACTTTTCTAACCACGCTTCAAAAATACATGTTTGTGTTTTTTAGTTATTATTTATCATTATCAAACCTCAAACCAACTTCCTGAGGAGTTTAATGGTGTAACCATTAAAAAAAACAGTTACAATCACAGTCACCTACAAGGAATGTTAGAAAACAGTGAAGCTTCATTTTAAGGTAAGCCTTAACACAATAATTTTATCACTCTTTTGTGTATTTCTCGGGTCCATTCTTACATTATATTTTTTCCAACTTTTGGTTTAATTGCAAATCATTCAGCTTATTGCTGGTACTGGCATCCAAATGTAATCTAGTTTTGTGAGGTAATAATGTTATAATAATAATACAATTGTGAAATGGCAAATGACACAACGAATGAAACTAACATTTATTTAACTTGTTTTACCTCAATTTTAGAATTAATAACTTTCAGTACTGACTGTAGAATCACCCCTAGTTCATTGGGAATATGTAGTATTCGCTTCATTAATATAGATCCCAGAGCTCCAGACATTACTTATTTTCTGACTAACAAAATGGGTGGTATAGAATAGTGTTAGTATGTACTTTGAACGTATGCATATCTCCTAACTTAAAAATTAATAATCAACATTGCCAGACACTTCTCATCGGCGGTAAATTCTGCCAGACGCTTCAAAGTTCACAAAAAAATCGTAATTTTATTTATGTTTGAGTCTTCATTTTTAAATATGATACTTAGGGAACTATTTCAATACTAAAATAATTTGAAGTGGTCTGTATTTTGTCGAAACTGCCAGACGCGGATCGCGATTTCGATCTTTTTGGATCTCATCAGCGCGTCGCCGGCAGCTCCGACAGAACACAGACCAACTTTCACCTGCTGTCTTAACAGTACGTTTTAGAAAATACTATAAATGGCGCAGTAAACGCCATCTATAGCACGATGCTACATTTTAGGATTACGTATGCTCGAACAAGGTCTACCTGTGTGGATATCTACTTGCTGAAAATGAATCCCGGCGTAGCTAACCTCAACGTGATAGCTTAAATAGCTTAATCGAATAAAATAATTTGAAGTGGTCATTCAATATTTATTTCAATACATTTTGTAAGCACACAGCTGGCGTATATCAATTCGATATTGTTTTGCGGCCTATTTTGTCATAACTGATAGAATTTCGTAGTTCCTTGCTAAAGGTACGATAAGTAGTGATATTAACTTGGAACTTCAAAATTCCATGGACCATGACAATGAACCTGGAAAACAATATCGATCCAATATTTTAGATTATACATTTTCAAGGAGTTTAGAATTTTTCAGACTCTTTAGTTAAAGAATTAGAAATGATTCTAGGAATGTCTCTTTGTCTCCTTCTTAAGCTTCTAATACCTTCAATGGCCAATGTGAGCAACTTTCATTCGTCATTTTATACAATTGATCGGTGATACTAGGCAAGACTTTTAACGGCAAAAATGTATTTTACATTTTACAAATAGAAAATACGATTTGAAAAGGATTTTAAATAAAATACAAAATGCTTTTCTCAAAAAAGTATTTAAATGCAAGATAAAAATAGGTAGTTTTTATTGTGTACTTACATTTTAAATGCAAGTATTTCAAATAAATCACATCTCTTTTTATAGTACAGGGACATTTTAATTGTGCCTGATGGGGATGTTTGACCCCTACAATTGGTCTGATGGCTGCTTACAAAAAGTATTGAAATACTTCCGTAAGTATCATATTTAAAACTGAAAACTCAGACATATGTACAATTACGATTTTTTTGCGACCATTGAAGCATCTGGCAGAAATTACTGACGATGGGAAGTGTTTGACAGTGTTGAATACTAATTTTTAACAATATTCTGTGAAACATTATAGAAAAATCAGCACTCAGCCTTTAATAAATGTGAGTATTGCTTTAAGTCCTTTTAGTACCTGGTATCTGCAAATTGGCCTACGGTCCAAGTTGGCAGGTATACACAGTACACTAGTTTATCCCACCCATTTTGTTACTCGGAAAATAAGTAACGTCTGGAGACTCTGGGATCTTGATCTAATACTTTTTTTACAGCTTCTACGATTTTAAGTTGCTCATAACCATTCTTCATTTCAGATCAACAACATGAAGCATATATTTGTTATGATTCTGTTTGCTTCTGAATGCCTAATAAATGCTAGTATTCCTGGTTGTAATGAAGTGGAAAGATATAGATATACAAAACATCGTATTCATTATAATGTGGAAATTACAAATATTGATTTAAATTGCTACGGAATCGATAACCTTCCATCAAAGGAATTACAATTTGAGGGAAAGATTCACACACCCCGTCGTGTATTATTAAGTATTACCTTCCATGACAGTAACATAAAAACTATCCCATCGCTTTCTTTTTACGAATTTGCTTCCATACGAGATTTAAATCTGGACCATTGCGGCATCAATACGTTGGAAACAAATTGCTTTTTAGGAATGAAAAATTTAAAAAGACTACAGTTGGGTAATAACAATATTTCAAAAATTAATGTTGGAACATTAAGTAATTTATTCGCCCTTAACTACTTAAATTTATCCAGTAATAACTTAAAAGACATTGATAAAGACGCTTTCAAGGGTCTCACGTTGATGAATGATTTGCTCTTAAATTACAATAAACTTGAAGAATTACCGGATGAAATATTTTCTTCTTTGCACAGCATTAGAAATATCGATTTATCATGGAACAACTTGAGCACCCTTACTATGAATATATTTCGGAATATGACAAGTCTTGAAGCTCTTAAGTTAAATAAAAATCAGTTAAAGACACTTCCACCAACAATATTCAGCAATTTATCTAGTCTCAAAACCCTTGACATGTCTTACAATTCATTAACAAATCTTTCTTACGAATCTTTATCAGGGCTTGAATCATTAATTTCTCTTGATATTTCCAATAACCAACTTATTATGTTAGACTCTAAATATAATTGTCATAATGCGTTTTCTGAAAAATTTTCGCAATCCTGTTCGAACGAAAGCAACGTTAACACCTCACGCGTAAGTTTATTTTTAGGGATGAAATACCTTAAAGAATTACATTTAGAGGGAAACAACATTTCAAAAATTGAGAACGAAACACTGAGAGGTTTTGTTCAACTTGAAATATTAAGTTTGTCAAAAAATCGCTTAACTGAAATCCACCAAGACGCCTTTAAAGACTTATCTTCATTGACATATTTGTCTTTAGATAAAAATAATCTTGAAACGATATGTAATAGCACATTTTCTAATCTACGAAAACTAACCACCCTACTTTTGGATGACAATAAAATACGTACTCTTTCCGTATCCCTATTTAAAGACTTAGATTCACTGGATACCCTTTCCTTGTCGAATAATCTATTGAAACATCTTCCATTTGGTTTAATGTCCCATTTAAATCTATTAAGCAGTCTTAATATTTCTAATAATCAACTTGTTGAATTGAATCCCATATCTTTCCATTTTTTGAATGTTATAAAATCATTGGATATAAGCAACAATAAAATTAATACTGTGGATATTAATCAGCTGATGTCTGCTACAAGGAATTTAGAACATATATATTTAAATGGAAATAACTGGAACTGTGAGGGACTATTTAACATTATTAGATCCCTTACGGTTAGAGGTGTTGTGGTCGAAAATGGTAATACTATTGATATCGAAAATGTTCACGGAATAGCATGCAGTCAAAGTAATCGTGAGACTGAGATGGGTACGTTTACGACAAGTGAAAGAACAACAACTGTAACGAACGATTTTCAAAAGCACGTTTCAAAAGTTTTGATGAATATAACTGGAACATTGTCTAACATCAACGTTATATTATCAAATCCGACGGGTTATAGTGACGAAAAGAAACGTACAAAAGATCAAAATATACAGGAAGGTATTTTAAATAATTCAATAGTTATAGTAAAACTTCTAGAATCTGCGATTCAACAATCCGCGAAGAATGAGCAGAACAAGGAACGTTATCTACAGTTGAATGTTTTGAACAAAAAGGATATTCAGACAAAGGTAATCAGTTATCGTATAGTCCAGGATCCCCGGAAGAACGTACCAAGCAATTTGTAGGACAATTATCTCGAGATTAAACAAAAAAAACCCCAGTTAGTAGTAAATTTTTGAGAATTATCAAACCGACATATTTTATCCTTGCTACCTCTGTTAGGTGTACCACAATCCAGAATTTTCGCACAGAAACTCGTTGGGCGTCTCATCGAGACGAAGCTATTCACGAAGATTCAGCTTGATAGTAATTATTTTTACATCAAGGATCTGTACTACTACTTTTGAGCGTAGGACCGGGAGATCGTACCACGCAATTTGTAGGACAATGTGACTATTAAATTACATAAATATTAACTAAGTAAAAAAAAATCAACTGGTTAGTAATCATTTATGATGACCTCGTTATCGGTACATGTTGGAAAGAGGGGACTCTTTTTATCAAACCATATATTTTGTAGGACAAATATTTTTTCGAATAATTTAGATAATTATCTTGAGATTAAACAAAAAAAATCCCAGTTAGTAGTAAATTTTTGAGAATTATCAAACCGACATATTTTATCCTTGCTATCTCTGTTAGCTACCACAATCAAAGAAGTTGTTGGGCGTCTCATTAAAATGAAACTACCTAATCAAGTGCAAAAATGTACCAGGGATCCTGGACTAGTAGTATTATTATTTCAAAAAACGAATCAAACGTATAGAAGCACAAAATAAAGTGTAATTTCGTTACAGAAGGAAACCAATGACATCGCTGGATTTGAGCGTTTTCAGACTGTTCAAACAACTTCGGATATTGAAACTGCAAAAATGTACTTAATTGTAATCTTATCGGTTACAAGTATGATAATGCTAATCATAATCGGTTTCACGTATTGCGAGTCGTTCAGACGCATCCCTATTATCGACAGAATCAGACGCATCTCCATTATCGACAGAATCAGACGTCACAAATCTCAACACCAAAGCCAAAGCAATGCCGACCTTATAATCAATAATGATGTCGAAATATTAAATACACGAATTTGAGGATTTAATAAGCTGTTACGTATAGATGAAGATCATATCCCATATTGTTTTAATTCCATTTTCTTCTGTCTTCCTATTTAAATAAAGAATTAAAAAACGAAATAACGTAATTTTAATTAATTAATAAAATGTGCTTTTGCGAAATCCAATAAAATAATTCATAACTTCAGCTCGTTTTTGAACAATTTAACCAATTTTCAAATGTATTCTGTACAGTGGTTCAATCAGATTTGGATCAGGTCCCCGATTCAAGGGGGACCCCAACAAAACTTATGCTTCGGGTTCCAAATGTCTTCATGATCTGCCACTGACTTCTTGTATTAATTACTTCCCTCAATAACATCATTTGTTCCAATACCTAATTTAATTCAGCAGTGATTTAAACAGTATCTTCTCAATCGTAAAATTTTTCGGAAATTGTCTAACTCCCCTAGAAAGAGCTTAATATATCTGCGTATTTCAGATTTAATGTTGATAAGTATGTAGAAGCTAACCTGTTAAATTTGCGCACTGAATGTTGTTAATGTCTTTTCATTCTAAAAATGTTTGTTATTTAAAAGTTCGTCAATTCAATTCTTCGTCAAATGAAAGTTCTTTCATTTCTAGGTAGTTACTGAAGACGTGCACGTACTTGGCGCAAAGTTTTGCTGACAGAAATGAACAACAACTGAAATCGTGTTTTCCAATGACGATAGAAAATTTACTTTGCTATCAAAACAAGTGTCTACCCCAAAACGTTTAATATGATAAAAAAAGAAGATATTCTGCTTCTAATTAGTTTTTATCATGCACTTTACAACTAATTTAGTACCTAATAAATAATTATTCAACTGGTCTCTTAAAAATTATGAATTTTCATTAATAACAAAATCGATGCGCTGATGTAAGCCAGAAATAATAATTGGGGAAATCAAATCTCAAAAATAATCGATAATGTAAATATGTTATGTACTGTAGATACCCTATATTGAAACTCCGCATAATGAACAGTATATTAGTTATGTTACGACACCGTATATAGTGAACAAATTGAATCTTCGCTTATAGAAACGAATACCCATAGTACTTCCGCAGTTAGTTCATTGTTAGTGGTAGTGTTATTTGCATTCTGCAAATCATGAACGATTGAGTATAGCTCATTATTAGTTATAGAGGTATATTCGCTTCAAAATGTTGTAATCTGTAGTGGACATTTGGGGTAGGAGACTGGTGCCATTCAATGTAATAGTAAGTAATAAGAAAGTCTAGTGTCTTACCGGGTGGAAATATATGAATGAGAGGAAGAAAAGCAGATAGAGGTTTTATATAAAGATGAATCGAGTGGGCATTGCGACTAGTGAAAAGTGCCGTAAATTATGTGATAAGAAGAGAGACTAAAGACTAAAGGCTTGAAGAAGGGGGGAATTTAGAAACGAAATACGGAGGAAGAAAGTATTGCAAATATAGACGAAAAGTAGATGTCATGGGAGAGGGATTTGAAGAAATTGCAATAATGAGGAACAGATGCAGAGAAATGATAATGGGAGAAGATCCAAGAAAAATATACGGGTCAAGATTTGTAGTTGGGTTAATGGAGATTTTGTGGAGGTTCTGGCACGGAGTATTAAGAAAGAGGGAAGAAAATTAAAATTTAGGACAGGGAATGGTGAAAAGATAAGTTAATAGATAAGATAATTAGTATTGAAAATAGGAAAATTATAATAATTATAAAGTTATATGCAGAAGAGTCTATAGAAAACTATTCGCAAGGGAAAGCCCATTGTGCAAAAAATAAAAAACTTCAGAATAAATCAAATAAAAGTGATACATATTTAGATTAGATTACTGTTCACAAATAGTTAATAATGTGGGATGAACTAGTTTTAAGGAAATGCGAAAGATTAGCTCAACCAGTCTTAGAACTGATGCTCTTATGATGATGATGATGATGATTTCATTATTGCTTCATGTATGTGGACAAATCGATGTATTACGAATCTTTCAAAATTTAATGACTACTATTATTCCAAAAACACTTTTCCTGATACTCTCTTTGGATTTCTCTAACAGTCAGGACCAGATTTTACCCTAGTGGCGCCCTATACGCCGTAAAAAATGCCACCTTATTACCCATATTCTATAGAAAATAGATGAGCGTTTAGAATACTTTTTAACTTTCCGCTATAAAAACCACTAATTTTTCAAAATTACAAGTTATTGATCGCAGGCTGATTTTCGAATATCGAGTATTCATCACATCTCGACATTTTGAGATCACAAGAAGCTGAAGCTAAAGAAACTACGCCGAGTGCTGTAAATCCCCTAAAAAATTAGTTGATCCGTTAGGGAATACGTACTGTTGAAGAAAAATGTCGAAAAAAGCTTTTTTCTTTTGAAACCACACTCGAATTCCTAGTGAAATTGATATTCGGTACTCAGGTAGGTGTCTGCATGTTACAAACGTTAACAAACGCTGTGCATCATACTTCAATCGGTTGATTCCTTTAAAACATTTTTCTGCCTAAATATTTCATAAATAATATTTTTTTATACAAACTATTTATGTTTATTTGCAAATGCACTTTTTTAAACATTTTTTAGTAGCTCCTACTGTCTCTGGTGTAAATCCAGCACAGCTAACAATGGACAGACTGTTTTAATTTATTTTTAAAAAGTTTTTGACCTGATTTCCGCGACATTTTATCATTGTACAATGATGTAGACGCTGATGTCGACGCCGTTTTGGTTGTCGGGAGGTTGCAGACCCCTACGAGCCAGCGATCCGACGTGCAATGTGCGCGTCATCGGGGGTGACGAAAGGGTAATGAGGTGTGGTGATTGAGAGAACTTAGTCGGCCGTAAACATTATCTGTAAACTAACACCCTCATCGATCGCTAGTCCAGGGACCGAACGAACGGCTTTCGCAAATTGATCGTTAATCCTAAATCGCGCTGCCATTTGTGCTGTACATAGATAGGTACATATTTACGTACTCCGTGTACAGGGTGTCACCCTCTCATATGAATTCTACATTTATAAATAAGGTGCCGTTTCTGCTCTGACCTGTTTATGGTCCGAAACCTAACCATTGAATGAAATGATGTCAAACAAGTCATACAATATATAAAAACCAACAAATCACCGGGTGCAGATGAGATCCCATCAGAAGTCTGGAAACTCTTGGTGGACGAAGGAGTCCAATGACTATTATTAGAACTGTTAAACAAGCTGATCCGAAGCCAGGGGCTTCCGAGTACTTGACGAATAAGTTTCCTTGTGGCTTTTTACAAAGGTGAAGGAGACGTCAGAGAATGTTCCAACTACAGAGCCATTAAATTAATTTCACATACGCTGAAGTGTTGGGAAGTGAAGTCCATGGAATTTTGGAGTTCCAAATTGATATCAGCATCTTCCAAATCACCACTTATCGTACTTTTAGCAAGAAACTACGAAATTTTATGAATTACGACAAAACAGCCCGCAAAACAATATCGAATTGATATACGTCAGCTGTGTAAAACTGAAAACTACAAGATATTGTGGTGTGCTAATAAATGCGTATAATCCAAAATTCTTAGAAAACAATTCAAAAAACTTCATTTATTAGATGAACCCAAAGCTAAAGAAACTATAGATTCCATTCCTGTCTCTTATTACTGGTGTAAAAGATCGGAAACAAAATAGGGTTGTAAATATTTTTATATAAAATAATTGATGTCGATTTTACATCAATAAAATTATTTGTAACACTATTTTGGCTCTGATATTTGACGTTAAACAAACTATTATAGCATCAGTGTCTTTTTTCCAATTAAAACGAGTGATAAAGGCAAATAAGGAAGTATATAGAAGAATTATTTGTTGCTGAAACTATAACATAAAAGTAGAAAAACTAAATCTCAATAGTGCAAACACCACTATTAGTCTAGAAAAACTCCAATATTTAAAAAATGAGCAAATGCCTGCAAGGTTTTCTTAAAAAATCTTTTATACTTAAGTAGAAAATTAAATAGGTACTACAAAAAAATATTTTTTGAAAAAAGTATTTTGAAAATACGTATTTTGCATTTAGCATTTACTTAAAATACAAAAGGGAAATTTATTTTGTATTTTACATTTGAAATAACAAATCAAAAAAGTATTTGCACATCTCTAAATCAAATCTAAAAATATTTTAAAGACAATTTGATACGTATTGTGTAGTTTGCCACTGTATGAAAGTAAATACAATCGTCCTGATTCTGTGCACTCGAAAATATGTACTTATCCGTTATTTTTCTCATGTAACGTGTTGATTTGGATATTTACTTTCGAAATAAATACTGCGCCCGTTTTGGTCGATACCATCCTAAGGGTATGTACACCATGACACTTTCCGTTGTCACATTGTCTGTCAACTTAATCAGGAACGACGGTGATGTGTTTGCACAAGCCAAAGGTGCGAAGAAATTTGTTGACATTCTTAAAAGATAATGCTTTGATTTTTATAATCAGACAGAGCGTGTCAGTTTGGGAACTACATATGTAAGCAAATATGTAAGATTAAATGTTGAATGTAGAATGTGTAGGTACCTTCCTCTACTTCCTGATTAAACAAACTATTCAAGATAATATTCTATTTGTCAAACATGTTTGAGCCAAATCAACGCAAAATCAATGACAATCTGTGGCATATTAAGGTGTAAATTTAAATTTCTTTGATAAAATGCCTACCTTTAAACATATCTACTCACAAACAACTGTAATATTTATTCATACTTCTAGTTAAGAAATCTGAAAGAACTGAATAAATTCATTCTTTAGTTATACCTGATAACTACATAGAAATTAAACCAAAATAAGGGGTGTAAAGTCGTACATGTTTGGCAATCTCTAGCATATTAAATTTTATTTATTTGATAAAACAAGTAGGTACCTTTTAAGGTACTAGGAAACTGTGGTATTTATTCTATGATCTTTCAGTTAAGAAATCTACAAAATTGAATAAACTCATCCTTCTTGAAAATAATTTGCAAATTATTAAACATAAAAGATTTCGGACAGAATCAGAAGTAAAAAGTTTGTAGAAATAGTAACATGTAATGCTACAGGATTTTTTTGAAGCCATTTTTACTAGGTTCTTTAAGATTAATAATGTGGTCCAAAGGATGCCGTTGGTGATGACAATATATTACAATTAGGGGAAGAAAAGAATATTACAATAATAAGAAGCAGAGTTAGTCTTTAGCCAATGAATTTTATGCAAATGTAAGACATTTTTACCACAAACAAAACTTTTTTCTAAATTCATGCAATTCTCGCATTTACAATTTATATTTTGAACTTGTTGCTCCATCTGTTAAATATAGTTGGAAATTTTAACGAAATAGATTTGTTGTACGTATGAATCCTACTATACCTTCAGTAATTTGACGTTTAAAAGTAAGGTTAGGACAACTGTTACATAAACAAAACAATTTGTAAGTAATTCTTCCTTGTTAGTGTTTTAACTCTGATTGTTTATTGTAAATACAGTAATCGGTGTAAAGACAATTTAAATAACAACTAATTGTCATAGTAGTGATGGAATCGCACGTTATACCCAGACAATTTTCCGGTCAACTTTATAAATATACAAACGTTATGAAGGGCTGGCAGTACAGGTATTTCGTAGTAGATGCCAATGCGGGGCTGCTTCATTACTACCTTTGTGAAGGAGAAAAGCCTGAGGGAAACGTTCCTCGAGGTTCAGTTCATTTGGCAGGTGCAGTAATTTGTCCAAGTGATGAAGATTCGAAAACATTCACTGTCAATTGTATGTCTGGTGATATGTTAAAATTGCGAGCATCTGACGCTAGGTCACGCCAAGAATGGGTCAATGGATTGAGAGCAATCGCCGAATCGCATACAAAGGTAAAAGATACCTTGACAACTGTTCATACGAGTTGACAAAAATGACAGGTAACAAAATTTAATTTTGGATCCTTTTTCCTTTTGTTAACAGGCAATAAGTGCGTCCAGTCCGTCCTTACCACCCCGGGAGCATCTGGCCGTGTTGGATGCAATGGGAAGTGTAAGAGAGCAACTTCAGCAAACTGAACAAGCAGATGCAGCTCTCTGTAGAGCGATAGAATCATCAGGACCACAAAGTTTCACCGATCCAACATTGTTACTACTGAAAGCCACATCTGCTGCGTCGCTGCACTGTCTGTTTCAGTGTTTTAACATTTTACAGCGAAGCGAACACCAACAAATACGGACAGGGTTAGTTGATGAATAATATTCCGGAAACGATACCGACACGCATTGGGGCTGCTTGGGTAACGCGTTGCGGCCGTCTTTAATTGTCGGTTCGAAGGTCGGTTGTTGCTTTTTTAAGTGGTGAAACTAATTTTTAAAAACAAAAAAGGTAGCTATATCGTACTTGAAATTATTAAACAGTATACTGATAATAATCTCTCATTTTAATTTTGAAATTGATGTACGATAACTAATAAACGTTGAAATATTATTTTACAATTAGGGATATTGTATAAGTACTTAGATAAGACTGTTCATGAGCAGATTATTTGAAATATGAATGTATATTTTTAACAATTATTTCAATCGACTTTTATCACAAGTACATTTAGGTGTAAAATTCAAGTAATTTTGAATAATGCTTGTCTTAATACGGTCTTTTACGGAAATATTTAGTTGAGAAAGAGTTTAAGATTACGTAACTATTTGTTTAATTAACAAATTGAGAAAAATATCACATTTCTAATATAGTTCTTTTTATTGTAACTCTTCAGGCTGAATCCAGAGAAAAAGCTGTAAATATTTTCTTTACTCGATGTTAAATAATGATCAAAACGAGCTATGCTGTGATATTGTTCAATTTCTTTTCATACAATCAAGTGAAATTGCTTTTTCGGGCTCTTTTTGAATGTTCTAAACAGCTACGGTGCTTAAGGTGGTCTTTATTTTGAATGTTCTTTAATTTTTATGCTTGCAGGGACACTAGTAGGGTTCAAAATTTATTAAAAGAATACTATCCAAGTTCCAAGTCTATCTTAACATTGACTTATGCTTACTTGCAATGTACGTTTCCATTATTTTGTTCTCGCCAAAGTGACTGTTCAAAAAAGTAAAAAATTTACAAACTACAACTTCATAATAGTATTCCTTAGAATTTTTACAGATTGGCAGGAATAATTTAAGCTAGATGAGTCGTTGGGTGCATTAAATTTAAAAAATATCATAATAAGAACCAACCTAATGCTGTTATATATGCAAGCAAAATACTTCAAAATTGGAAATTTCTATCTGTTTTGTTACTATTCAACAAAGCATTTCCCTAAGAAACAGCGTTTTAAGAACAATAGTCAGATTTTCTTTTACTAATTCGATGGCACTATTTTGGAGCTTAAAGAAGACCAAGTCTTCACAAATCATTACTTTTTTTATTATTGGCGAAAAGGGTCTTTTGACTGTTTCAGTTGACTCTAATCTCATTTATAAAAATGAAAATGTAAATTAATCAAAATTTGTGCCAATGATAAGTAATGCAAATCATATCAATTTATTCATTGTAAGATTAACAAGGCTAGAATATAGTTTTTGATTGTAAATACGCTAAAACGAAGTATATCGAAATTTCTGTATACAAACTAACATCTTTTGTAACTTTAGGGTTAAAAAAATGGGGCATTTCTTGTTTAAAACGAGGAGGCACAAAAAAATCAGAAGAATTGATTGGTAATTGAGATTGTGGAACGAGACAACTTGTTAATATCTATTGCATTTCTGTTATATATTTTTGAATATTATTTTTAAAAGAATGTACCTATTAAAATGTAATTAATAAATGTATATATATGCTTTTAATGTTGATTATTATTTTGCTTAGGTATAACTTAAGTAACTGATTCAGAAGAAACGAAAGGAAACATGCATACTTACTATATTAATACAAAAGTTATCTATTTCTCAGAAATGATCTTAATTATATAATCTTACAGATTGAAAGTTACCTTAATTATATTTTTTTATTTCTTTGCGAATGATATCTTCATGGCATGTGTAGGAGTGATTTTGAATCCTTGAAGGGCATCTTTAGCAGCCCCTGACTGTAGTTCATTTTCAAACTCGACAAATGCTATGTCATGTCTGTTAGGTACTAAACGAACCTCCTTAAAGCCAGGAAACCTGAAAAATAATATTTGAATCAAAATAGATAAATAAAGTGTTTAATAAATAATTTACTGATTGAATAACATGGACAGCATCATTTCACTTGTCTCATCTGGAAGATTTGTGAGGAATAGAATTTGATTTGGTGGCTGTTCTGCATTACTTCCACCAGGTATTCTGTTGGGGTCCTTATTTTTCTTCTTTTTCTTTGGTGCATCTTCTTCTCGTGAAGGTATAGGTCTTACTTTTTTCGGTCTTTCAGCAAATGTGCCCTTTATCTTTGCTATTATGTCAGAGTCTACCTTTGCATATTGTATTCTCTAAAAAATTATAATGGGCTTTTTATATTAAAAGAAAAATATACTAAGAAGTTACTTACCATAGGTTTTTCATAAAAAGGAAAACCCTGCATCGATCTTAAAGCATTGGTAGCACTTTGAATTTCCTTGAATATCACAAAAGCTTGCCCTCGCATTTTTAACGTTTTTAACGCAACGATATCCAGTATTTGGCCAAATTGAGAAAATATAGCGTAAAGCGATTTTTTCAGTTCGTCTTTTTTTATTTTCTCGTTCAAATTATTAATATAAATTGTATTGTTTGGTCTAATATCCATTGTGAACGTAGTGTTCCTAGGTAGTTATGTTTTTAAGTTGTAATGATTACAATTTATCAAAAACAGTTTAAATATATACTGTTTGTTATAAAGTCACTACAATAGCACAATATTAGTTAATAGTTTTGAAACAGACCATACACTTTACTTTTTTCGGTTTTCTTCTACACGTCCGGCAAACATAGTAAACGTACAATATTTGAGGTTAGATTGACTTAGCTAACTTCATTAGGCAAAAATAGGCAAGGGATGTACAGAAAAACGGACAGGTGTGTACAAAATATAAAAATCTTGAAAATAAATAAATCATTTGTGTGAAAACAATAAGTTATATATACATTAGAGTCTTCTAATGAACATTTGTACGTAAACGAAGTTTTTATTATGATGTAAAACATATTTACAATTGTAATTTAAAATATCCGTTAACTCATTGCCAATTTGTTCATTAAATAATTAAATGATTATTATTCCGTAAAAGTGAAGGAAATATTAGATTATATACTAATTAATTTATCCTACAGATATTAATAATTAATTTAAGCAGAACTTTACCATATTTTTTTGTTTATAATGACGCAATTTTAAATAGCTTATTTTATCTAGTTAAAAATCTACGTCCATTTGGAGCCAAAGAATGGGAAGAATAATTTTATCATTACTATTGTAGATTTGATTCTCTTTAAATAATATTTTGATGTCTATTAATATTAAACGAATTATACTATTACACAACCTTTTAGAGAAAAAATAGATAATCCTGGGCATTTTAAATTACCTTTAGTATGCTAAAGATTTTATTACGTGCATGCAACGGCGAAGATCTTGAGGTAGGTAGATCGTTCATGTGAACACGATTAGTGAAAAGTGGTATTAAATTTCCATTATATGCTTCTTTAGTTTTTATTGTCGTTTAGTGCTGGCGGTTGCAGAGTAAATTTCATCTAATTAACCGGTGAAATACGGCATCCGCGATGTGTGAGATATGTTCGCAATTTGCCCAAGTTTATAGACAATATAAATTTTAATGAAGACTGTGTCTTCAAAATTGCCCGTTTAATTAAAGCGCTCAGACCATTTTATGCACGATTCTCCTTGTTATTATTATTTTCAATGTTTATATTTCGCAGCGGGATTTGACCTGATCTACTGGATCGTAAAACCGAAATCTACACAATTTACTATTAGATACGCTACAATGATAATGGTACTACCAATACGTATGTATGTAAGTACATGCAACTGTCGCGTGTATGCTCAATTTATTATTCATTTACTGACTCGTAAGTGTAGATTTAAAATGGGAATAGGGGAGATAGGTTTTTAAGATTTATAGGCAACTGATGAAGATATCGAAACTAATTTTAAAATCTTAAATAAAATATTTAAAGTCTAAATAAAACACATACTTAGACAGCGCCTTTCTGAAATAAGTAACAAGTCTTGAAGGTGGTAACTAGGTGCAATATGAAATTGCATGGTCAGTAAAAAACCCAAAAGAAGTTACAATTCGAAGCCGGTCCTGGGCAACATACAGTGAAATTGCGATAACAATTAAGCAGCTACATCGCTGGAGAACGTAAACAGTGACGGTTGTGGAACGACTAATAATTAAATAACTACTTTATTCATCGTTGATGGTATTTAATACCATTTAAGGTATACCTCTGCGTGAAAGAAAGAAAAAGTAAACGTTGCGTAAACATTAATTGATAAAAATTTATATCTTCTGAATAAGTAATAGTAATTTATTAGTAATCGTAAGGTAAACTTCCAAATCACCATTAAGGTATTGCCAAGGTGCATTTATATTGTTTTAATGGGTGGTTTGTCAATAGCCCTACTCTTCCATTAGAAAAAAATCATTATAACACCAATAAACACACGCATACACATACGTACCTACGTACACTATAAAAATTTTTCGAAATACGAACCCCGTGTTAATAGATAGGCTTCGAGGCGTCTACTAAAATTATTTTTTAGTCGCGCAAAAGCGCCCTGTATTTTAGCATTGATGAGGGGCGCCGACGCTTATCAGCTAACGTGATATAATAATGAATCACTTAATTTTCACTTTTGATAATAACAGCCCACATCCAAACAAATACATTAGTGAAAAGGTTACAAGTTTTGCAACTCAAATTTGTGAGGAGGCTGCTCTCGAATCTCTAGGGAGAGATTTTGATTTACTTACAGATCAGTTACATTGTCAAACTTATGATGAGGCAGGTAATATGTCAGGAAATTACACCGGAGTTCAGGCCATTATCAAAAAACTCAACCTCTAACTGATTACATTCACTGCACTGGACATGTATCCAAGCTAGCAGCACAGATTATTTATTAACTATAAAATAAGCAGTCATTTAGTTTCATCAGCTTTTACTGCTATTAATGTATGTACATGGAAGTTAAATATATCGAAGTGGAAAATTCAAAGCTATTTTGAAAGATGCAGCTTTATGACAAATTGGTAAAGCCTTCTGCGGTTAGTAGGTGAATTGATGCTATCCTGATTCGGGTTTAAAGGCTGTTGGAGATGGAAGGACGTCTGAAGAACGTTAGGAAGCAACTCCAACCGACGACGGCCTTCAAACCCGAATCAGGACAGCATCAGTTTACACAGCTTTTTCTTCTGAAAACTCAAGGTTTCAAATTATTCGTTCATTATGCTCCACACGGTGCGATAGTTGTGTAGAATGGGACACGTTAGTGCTACTTTAAGTTAATTTCATATTGCCTTGATTTATTGACAACAAACCATACAGTTTATTTTTTTTCATTAACCAGATAATAATTCGTTCACATGGGTTAACAGAGTTTTAATAAACTTGGGTTTTTGATGGGTGAGGGTGCTGACCATGAGTCAGGAGGTGGTCAGGTACCCTGGGACCCCCTATTAGAGGGTTTTTGAAGGTTTGATTAATATAGATATATTTTGAATACCTACTTCGTTACTTTCCATGGAAAACATAACTTGTATTTAATTCTACTATTTTATTTGTTAAGTCCGTCTCTAATAATTACCCTTTTAATTTCAATATTAGGAAACAGGTAGATACTTATATAACTACTTCGTTCGTGTTGCCTTTTTTTTATTGTAATATCATATTTCTAACTCAATCACTTTTCTCGTAGTTTCCCATAAAATTAAGATTGAATGTCGCAGCAAAAATTTGTTATACTTAGTAAGGTAGTTGATCCACTTAAAAACTCGAGTCATTAATTATTATTGCTAGGAATATTTTTTCTAAATAAAATTTATAGAAATTCAAATTAGAGTTTGAAAAACTGTTCAATCATAAAGAGCGGCGCTGTACGGATGCGAAACATGGACGGCGAGCGCGACGAAAAAGAAAAGGTTAGAAGCGTTCGAAAAATGTGGCGTTATCGGCGAGTGATGAGGATACCGTGGATAGAGAAGTTTGGAAATGAAGAGGTATTAGAAAGAATAGGAGAATAGAGGTCTCTAGGGAAGTCAATAAGATATAGGAGAGACAGGTTGGTACAGGTCTGACGAAGGAAGCTGGCGAGCGGTCGCGCAGGTACTTGCCCATTTGTGACCTATTTGGGCAAGTCACTTCAAACCGATACACAAATAAGCTTTAAGTAGGCTTATATTATAGTATTAATACAGATAGGACAGTAGCGTACTAGAAAATAATGTAAAAACATGACTTATCAAAAACAAAAAATTAACCTATTGCTTTTGTTTTATAGTTAGTTTTCACATTCACTCTCATCATGGGAATCTCTATCACTGTCACCAACATCAACAATTAGTTCTTCTGTTTGTCTGTCTATTACTTGCTCACTGATCCCTATTTTTAAATATTTAATCTACGCCCCTCATAAGGATACTGAAGAAAGAGGGCTGCAATCGTTATACCTAAAACTGCCTACTTTTGCCACCGCGCATCCACGCCATTTTAAAATTTCCGCTAGCTTCCAGCGTCAGGCCTGTAGGACACCTTCACAGGCACGAAGGTCTGGTAAGACATATTAGATGCAGAAGAAGAAGTTGAGAGGAGTAGAGGTAGACTTAGATAAGATTACTGTTCACAAATAGTTAAGGATGTGGGTTGTTCTAGTTTTGGAGAAATGCGAAGTTAGCTGAGGATAGGAAAAAGTGGAGGTGCGTGTCCAACCCGTCTTAGGACTGACGACCTTATGATGATGATGTTAGCATCTTCATTAACAGTTAACAGTTTCGTCGACAAATGTTCAGCAATATACGAGATTTTATCTCAGGCAAGTGATGTGTTATCCTGCCATTTTAACGAGTTTTTATTGTCTAATTAGCGAGTTGTCAACGCCGATGTGCTTTGCATTGTTCAATAGTCGTCAGTTAACGCGGCCTTCGAAATGATAATCCGGAAATAACGCAAAAAATTCCGCAGCAATACGAACAGGTAAGCTCTTAACTATCGGCCGCATCGTCCGTCGTGTTGTTGGTTGTCGCCGACCAATAAAACAACGACAATTAAATTTTGTTGCGCACGGTTGACTTGACTTCCTTGTCGTTAATTCAATAGCGATCGCCCTGGGGCTACGAAAGGCATGCGCCCGCTGCTAAAAACAGTTTTATTAATGTGCGAACTACGCGCATTTCCTGCTTAAACTCGCACCAGTTGCGGTCGGTCCCACGATTCTGCGCAATTCAATTGGCTAAAGTTAAGTAAGACTTTGATGCGCTTAACCAATCGGAATGGCTCGTGGGATGTTTGGGGGGCGAGGTTAAGTCGGTTAAGTACCGAGGAGTACTGTCACGTAGCGCCCTCGCAGGCCGTTTCAGGAAGCACCGAGATGCTCCGGAAGATACAGGTGAACTGATGGATCAGTACCTGTGCGACTCATCTATCTGAAATGTTCCGTGTGCTTTAAAGTCGGTATGCCGCGGTTTTCGCTTAAACTCGTCGCTGAAGGAAGGTTAGTTTTAGTTCATTTTGTTCTTGTTGTGGTGGAGGTGCTAGGGTCCGAAACGTATAAGCAATTTTCCCTAGGTATATTAGATATAATAAGTATGCTAATTTCTTCTAATTTTTTTGTGAGTCTTAAGGGGTCTCCAATTTTTTTTAATTAAAACTGGAAATTACTCACAAGGTCACTAATTAAATTTAGCTTTTTTTACGAGAAATGAAAACAAGAAAACTGATAATTCAAATGTGATTTTGTTTGATAGAAAATAACGTCTTAAGGAAGGGCTGCTCTCTTTTCAGAAGTTGGCCCTATGTAGGTATATGATCTCGCTTTTCACTTAAAGTTGGGGCACTGTTTGCGAGTGTTAAATATAACTAACAAAAGCCAAAAGGCTCTTAAGCATACATTAAGTCCGTTATTTTTAACTTTAAAAAAGTGGAAGTCAGTCAGGCAAAATATAAAAAATCTTACATGTTGCATGATGATTTACGGAAGGATAGATAGGTACCATCAGTGTGCCAATTCCTTTTATTCTTGTGTCATTCAACTGCATTTTAATCTACCATCCAAGAAATCATGGTCTCATCTGGAAAAAGAAAAGAACGAATTAGGTATCGAGTAGTTACAGGCAATGATCTTATTTAATAGTTTTTCATTCAACAATCTTTAATTAGGTGCGCTTTTAATTTTTGGCGGAGCACTTAGTGATTTTAATGCTAGGCTTATTAACAAGATTGTGCACCTGAATTGAAGTATTAGGTAGATATAATTCATCTATCAATATTAGGCAAGCACACGTAAATATTCTATTAGGTGCAGGGAGGATTAAAATACGTGTATAATAAATTAGGTTGATGTTATATCTGTAGACATCCTGCAAAAATTTATTAGGCGGGTGTATGTAGTTAAAGAATTTTTTAATTTTTTTTATTTAGTTCTCCACTTGTCGAGGATTTTCCTTGTGATGGTGGTATAAATACATATTTATCTTGTATAGATGAAATATAAATCGTATTATTAAAAGTCGGGAGCTCTTTTGAATAGTTCCTAAACAGAGGGGGGTGTGGAACCGCCTTTAACAAAAACAAGTCACTTCTATGCTCGCGAACCATTAATTTAGAAATTCGAAAAAGGTTGTTAAAGGTGTATGTTTGGAGCACGGCGTTGTACGGGTGCGAAACATGGACAGTGGGCGTGGCGGAAAAGAAAAGGTTAAAAGCGTTCAAAATGTGGTGTTACAGGCGAATGATGAGGATACCATGGATAGAGAAGGTTGGAAATGAAGAGGTTTTAGAAAGAATAGGAAAACAGAGGGCTGTACGGAAGTCAATAAGAAATAGGCGCGATAGGCTGGTAGGACACCTTCTCAGGCATGAAGGTCTAGTCAGAGACATATTAGAGGCAGAACCGGGGGTTGGAAGGGGTAGAGGTAAACCTAGATTTGATTATTGTTCGAAAATAGTTAAGGATGTGGGATGTTCTAGTTTTAGGGAAATGCGAAGATTAGGTTAGGATNATATTATATATTATTTATTATAACTTTCTTTAAAGTCCGATGCTGGCAACATGCTCATCTGTCTGCATCTCTTTCTGTTACATATCAATTGGTGTAATAGTATTCCCTTTTCTTTAATAGTGTTCGCTGCAATTCCTACCTTACATCTCTTTTCTATGCTTATGAAATTCCCTACAACGTCTGTTGTGACAAAAAGTAGGCGTTCTGACAGCAAATGCTCTTGTCTAGTTAATAAGTTGGAAGAAGAAATTGTATACAATAGTCTTATTGCTGACTATGTCAATTTCAAACGTGCCAACTATAGTAAAAAACGTATTAGAAGCAGAAACAAGCGTTAAGAGGAGTAGGTAGAGGTAGACTTAGATTAGATTAGATTATTGTTAATTAAGAGTGTGAGATGTTCTAATTTTAGAGAATTGCGAAAGTTAGCTCAGTATAGCAAAGAGTTTAAGTGCGTATCCAACCAATCTTACGACAGATGATGTACGTAGTAGTAAGCAGTGTTATACATATGCTTCAAGTATTACTATGAATTTATGTTTATGATTTTTCGCTTTGTGATTTACATTACAAAATTTCAGCTGTTAACGAATTTTGGTAGATATCCAACATGGAAATCTATTCAACATTAGGCTGCGTTTTTCTACTTCGAAGAAACAAAATATTCTTTAGGAATCATTACAAGAACTATAATTAGATGAAAAAACTATATGAAGTATACTGTAGATTTGCTTTTGGAATATTGTTAAAACTATAAATTCTATATACAAGTTGATAACTTCCGAAACGAAAAGCGTAATTGATTAATCTGTTAAGTTATTTTTCTAACGATTAGTAACACGGAAATTGGTATCCTGTTACAAGATCCTGCAGGTTAATCTCAAGGTTATCGTCTGAAAATCACACAATATGAAACAGATCAAGATTTTCCATACAAAGAACTGTAGCTATTTTTACAGATGCAAATAATGGTTAAGTGTATTGGGTATTGTGTAAAAATGTGTAGATTTTTATCAAAAATAACCATTAAATATTACGTTCGCCAGTTGATATTGTGAAGGCTGTTTAAATATAAATCAGCTCGAAATTCTACTGTTATACCGCATTCAAATCACGAAATAATCTCAATCTGGGTTAAGACTGAATACAAAGTGATTTATATGCAAATTAGAAATCGCTATGAGTTACTTTATAGCCATTATCATATCCAACTATTTATAAGATTTACTTACTTTAATGCAGAGACCTTTTCATAAGATAAATAATGAAAGATTAAGTAACGAATATGGAATAAGTACATGTAGGTGTAACGAACTTAAATCTAGTTACTTGAGTATTAAATACGTCAAATAAAAGTAACAACGTTTTATGAAGCATTTAATTATTGTTTAGAAAAGTGTAAATAAAATCAAGATCGAGTCGGATATCCCTTTTACAATAAATTTCGGCCCAATTCCTAAAAATTAATACAATTAGTATATTCAAAATGGATTTAAATTCATTAAAACATATCCTGGTTTAGAAATGGCAGGGGGGATTTATATAAATATAAATTAATAAATAACTATTAACTAACGGTTACATTTAGGACTTTTTCAGGTATTTTGCATCGATAAACCTTTATTCACACCCAAATTATCTTGTGACTGAAGTGTTAATATCAAGAGATCTTAAAATAGTTTTTGTTGCATTTTAAGGGTCCTGCACTTTAAAAGTAAAAAGCAGTAAAATAAAAAGTCATTTATGAATCAGTTGTTATTCACAACAAATAAGTGATGCTTAACTGAAAAAACAATGATCACAGTGAAATAAGAATTTGTTAGTGATTCATGAAGAAACTTGCACTGTTCCTATCAGTAAGTTTTGTAATAGTAAAACTTATTCAAACAAGTCAAACATATTTATGATTGAAAATTACTGTATTGATATAAGTAATTTGTAACCCATTTGCTAATAAGAATGCATTATTACAATTTAAAGCATAAAAAAGTCACTAGTTGACTCATTGGTGAAATAATGTTCCTGAGAGCTATTTCGGGCTGATTCCATGCTTTTTTTCTGAACTTATTATATTTACTTGTTTTTTACTAGTTTCGTCGATTCAATTGGTATTTTCACCAATTACACCAGTTAATACTCACTAATTTACAGTGCTGTTATTATTTATTGAGAATAATTAGTGAGTATTCACTAAAAATTAGTGAATATCCGCTGTTTTGTTTGCAAAGAGTAGATATTATTTAAAGAAATCCCATCCTACCCAACGGTTATAATACTTTTCGTAGTACGCAATGGGAACTCAGAAACTATTTCTCCAAAAATTTCATAATCTCTGTGTCTGAGTTATTAAATTTTGTTTCAGTTCAAAGTTCAAATTTCATCTTAGCGTTAGATTTCAAATTCAGTTCAACGAAAATGCAAAGTTTAATTCTGCATAGGAGTTTCTGAAAGCAGTGTTGGTTTCAAAACACATACGGATAGATAGTGCAGTAAACCTAATATGGTGTACCAACTAAAGAAACTAATTCTCATTATAACTTAATCCAAGCGATGGTAACAAAACTGAAACAACGGTAAAAAATGTAATATTTGACAATCCTTGAAACCAACACTACTTTCAAAACCGCTTGAGGGTTCCTGGAACCCTAAATGACTATAAAATGTAGGGTTATGACAATATTGGATGGATCTCAATTTAAGAAAACTCTTTTAAACATTACGAATATGCAACTTGACGAATCTCTAGCTATTTTACTGTGGACTCATCTCTTTTGTTTAAATTTTCTTTGGAAGGTTATTTTGACGTTTGTCATATTTGCTTTTGGTGTAAATAAAATACCACTTTGTTTTTATCAGTTCGTCACCGCACGTTCCTGCTAGAATAACAACAACACCAACGAATGTACGTACTAATGCAATTAAATAATCATAAGAGTATCATAAAAATCCGAGTTGGCAGTCATAAATAATCGAATAACCAAAATAAACAGGTTCATTATGTCACTATTACAATAATTACGACGATTTTTATTGCGCTGGTTTTTTACAACGAATTTTTGACATACAGACGGTGTGAAAATGACGATACTACGGTATTATCAAATCAATCAAAGAACTTTATAAGAACGACTCATTTGAATGAGAAGTTTATCTTCAAAATCAGAACAAATTCAAAATGGGAAATTTAAACTAATTTCTTAATTTCGTTGTCCATATCAATTGACGTCGCCAGCAAAATATTTTTTTGCAAAATGAACAATTAAATAAAACATGGAAATATTACTGGCAATATAAAAAAATACAACATGTAATTATACAACACGCTATTGAAGTGAAACTTCTTCAAACACACAAACATACCGGGATAGGGGTTAAGGAATTGGTTTAATGGCATTATTTGTACACTGTGCTTCGTACGGGTGTAATACTGATATTAAATATACTATAGAATGTCTTTATATACAATAATTACAGCTATTTTATCATTAGACAA